TGTGTGTGTGTGTGTGATAGTTTGTGTGTGTGAGTCAGTGTGTGTTTATTTGTTTGTTTATTTCCAGCTTAAACTGTGGTAAATCTTGAATGCTTTAAAGCGCAGACTTTGTTTGCTCTCCTTTTAACGAAGACACTTGGCAGATTATCACTGAAGGGAAAAAAGGGAAACTAAAAGAAAATGATAGAAGTTTGTTTATTATTATGAAAAATTCCCCAAAAATACAATTTTTAATGCTGCTTTATATGTAGTATATATTTGCCAAAAACAGGTTTTACTGTAAAACTGTGAGAAAATGAAAGCGAGTTATGTTCCACATTTGAGAATTTCTAGGGTGTTCGGAGTGTTTTTAGTGCATTGCTGTTGCTAGTGCATTGTTCTGGGGTTTCTAGCGTGTCCAGGGTGTTTTTGTTCTAGCGTGTTCTAGATGGTTTTTAGTCTATTGCTATGCTTTACACGATTGTTGCTAGGGTGTTCTGGGTGATTATAAATCTCAGTGCATTAATGTTGCTAGTACAACTGCTTTTAACTTACAATCTGCAGACTTATTTTGCTGTAAATTCTGTGCTCAGATATAATCACAGCGCCACTATACCCAGCCTAGATAATTCTGCCATGGCCGTCCCTCATTACGGGCCACTTGGCTGTGCCAGCGGCCCCGCTATTCACAGGAAGCAGCAGTAACTCTTCTGTGGTGCCTTGGCAAAGAGGAATGAGAAATCAAAGCACTTGAAATAGGATTAAAGCCTCTGCTGACCTACTCTAATGAACTTTATCCACTCGCAAGAGCTCCGTTCTCAGGGTCCAGACTCCTGATATATGAGTTTTCAGAAAATCCACAGAATGAATGCAATGTAGATTCTCCTTACACCAAAAAAAATTGTTCAGCTCTAATATGTAGAACCCATTAGCAACAACCTAGCAACTGCATAGCATAACTTCTGAAATGTATCACAGAAAACATTATGCAATGCATTTTTGTTTAATTTTTCTTATGGCACTAGGCTTATTGTCACAAATGCAAAAGCCCTTTTGTGTTATATTGCATGAGTTGCACTGACCTCACATAGTTTTGGTCTTTTAATCACTGTATATGGAAAATATTTGTCCCACTCTACAATAGCACTGCTTTATGTGTGCGTGTTGACGACTAAATAACTAAAATTCAAAATGAACATTTTCAGCTCAATATATTATAATCATCCAGTACTTAAATCGATACTCACCCATAACGTTATCCAGGTCTGCACAT